GAAACGAGATTGTTGCTTTTCTGCAGTACGGAACCATACCTGATGACAAAAGGAAGGCACACGCGCTCCGTAAAAAGGCTGCTCGTTACTGTTTATATCAAGTAAACCTTTATCGAAAGATGTTCGGTGGACCATTAGCAAGGTGTCTTGGACCTTCCCAAACAGAATACGTAATGAGGGAAATACATGAAGGACATTGTGGAAGTCATGCAGGAGGAAGGTCGCTGGTAAAAATATTGATTCGAGCAGGGTATTATTGGCCTAAGATGGAAGAGGAAGCAAATAGTTTTGTGTCTAAATGTGATAAATGTCAAAGGTACGGGAATAATATGCATAGACCAGCTGAGTTACCGCATCCTGTCATAGCTCCGTGGCCCTTTATGGATCCTAGGCCACGAATGGATCCTAGGCCATGCAGCCTACCTCCTCTACCTCTTCTGTGTCTCACAGGGGCATTGGGGAAACTGTCAAGAATTGGGACTCTCCTAGGGTCGGGATTCGAAGATGACATGGTAGAAAGATGTGAACAGAGAAAGATGTGAACAGAGGAAGAAGTGAATAAGAGTAAATAGTGAAATATTTGGTAAAAATTTGTGAAAGAAGGGTTAAGTTTATATATAAAAGCGACCGTCAAAGACTAAGAAGTGTAATGATGGAAAGCCTATAATAAAGGCAACTATCACTTCGTGAATAGTGGAGTTGAAGAAGCCTTGAAAAAAGGCTGCAGAATTGCAGAGCTAATGAGAAGGTGACACGTATGCAATGCATTAAATAGAAAAGACAACTGAAGCGTTAGTACTGTCATAGCATTAATTATGGCAAAAATTCCCTTTTTAATGAATATCCACTTTCCAAATATTTAATTGATAAATAAATGAAAAGTGGGGGGACTATCTGTATTGGGAAAAATTGAATTTAAATATTGAAGATGACGTGTCATGACACGTGGACCGGTCAAATAGTCAAAGCGTGGTAATCAGTTAGAAGGCACGAGCAACAACAGATGCGGGAGAGAAGATACTTAAAGGCACAAGCTATTATTCAAATGAAATGAGACTCGTACCTGTTCGAGTCATTTAAAGCTCGAAGATCAGAAGGAATTGAAGACATGAATCTGATAGTGTAAAAGAGTCCAAATTCTGCATTAAATGCCAAATACGTTAGAGAATTTGTATTTAATAGGAATGATTGAGTAACGTTTCTTTTAATGTCATTTATTGCTCGTAATTGCCTCATTAAGACAAAGGCATTACACTTTCTCTTAGAATTAACTATAAAAGGAGAAGGTCTCAACATCTGTAGGACACACGAAATATCATTGAGATTATACTGAAATATATACTTATTCATTGCTTTATTGTTGTTCTCAAAGTCTCTCATTTCTTGATTATCAGTAACCCGATTTCTCTCTTAAATTCTAGCTTTAACCAAATATTCAGTTTTTTGGTTAAACAAGTACGGCAATGAAAATGTTCTACGGGACTATGGAAGACGTATGTAATGTTTTGTTGATAATATATTATCGTCGTTTATGCTCAAAAAAAAAATCCCTCCCTTTTTCTATTCTCCTTTATATTCTTAATTAATTTTTTTGTTCTTTATTAGTTGTTGAGTATAATTTTTAAATATTGTGCGAAAAATTCCAATGGAGGGAAACATATTGTTTGAGTAGAAATTAAATATTTTTATTGTTTATTAAACGTTTTTTGTTGAATTATTTATTATTTTTATTAATAATTTAGCTAATTCAATAAAGGAAGAATAATTTTCTTTAAAATAAAAAGTTTTTCAACATCGTGTTTAGACTTCTTTTTTTAATAGTGTAAATAGATGGAATAAAATTTATAAACATGAAGATACTTACAAGAGTAAATTATTTATGAAGACATAATATAATTAAAGACAACCGATAATTATGGTAGGAATTCTCGAAAAAGAATCCCAAAACAAAAAACAAATGAGAGACAAATATCATAACTTTAGTGGGACTATATTCACTGTAAAATATAAACATACACAGTGTTAATACTTAATCGGATAAATTCGTAGGGGAGACCTAAAGTCGTTCCAATTCGGAGTTACAATTCTCGAATTGGAACTCTAATTATATTTATCATATTAGTCTTTACAACAAGTGATTGAAAGAAAATACCGCTCTATGATCTACAAATTAACAAAGTCATCCTTATCATAGAAATAAAGGGTAAAATTTTATCTGAAATACATAAATCAAGAACAAAAAGTAGAATATATAGAAATGACATGATTTAACAATCGAGAATTAAAAATTTACCATAATGCTATCTCCAAGTACTCCTAATAATGTGACAACTCTCCAGCGACTATCATGAAATATGTGGAATACATAGTGTAAAATAAACTGTTAAAATATTACAAAAGTTAATGGCCGTATAATTTGAAAATTTTAGAAATATTTAGCCGAATTTAAAAATAATTTACCAATGAAGGACTGTATATCAGTATATGTATTACTTTACTCGCTGGAGTTTGAGACATGAGCCTTTTTATGAAGCTATTAATGTGGCAGAAATTAATTAAATGTTGAGATTATGTGGTAATATCCCAATAGGAATCAAATGGTTTGAGTGTGAAGAAAAGTTTCAACAGCATCGTAATTGCAGAAAAAGGTGATTTAAGGTTATTTCCTTTAAAATTAAGGCAAAAGCCACTCGTAAACCTAAAAATAATCCCAATGGAATTAGTATTGAAGGACTACTAAAACGGGAAGGGAATAGAAAGAACTCTAAACTAAATAATATGACCTTTTGGATCAAAGTCCTAAACATTAGTTAAATAATTATTTGACAATATAGATAAAGAGGGATATTAAATTCCCTAATATTAGGAACCGATACATAGTTCAATAAGGAAAAGATTAATAGTAAAAAATTTAGGTAATTTTAAATCCTAAATATTTGGAAAACAATTAAAATTTCAATTTTGTCCGCTGTAAAAGTTATTCTAAAGTATAAAAAAAGGAAAAAATATTTTGTTAAGAAGCTTCGTGCTTTTAATATTACTAGTCTTACGGTACGCGCGTTGCGCGTGTAATCTATCTAAATGAGTATAAAACTTTAAAAAAATTATATAAATATTATCTTTGAATTAATAAATATGTAAATTTATTTTAATAAAGAATATTGATTTTGTATAGCTAATTCAGTAAGGAATATCAATTTATACCTTTCTCTCTACTATGTTTTCTTTTAGCTCTTTTAACTACTACATTAAATTTCTTATGAATAAATGTATATAATTTATTTTCATTAATTTCAATATATAAATTTATCTTATCTATGTTTTACTTTTCGAGTATTGTAATTTGATTTGTAATTTAATGTGTGTATAAACAATATGTATTCAACTTATTCAAATAATTAAGTTAAAGTACACTATAGTACTTACTTCAAATTAAAATACTACTATTATTTCAAAACGTAAGCATGTCGTATTAAACTTATTTATATATATTTTCATACTCGACCTAGTATGTTATAAGTTTGGTTTACATGTTATTAGTAATCTTTAAATTTTGAAGACTTAATATTAGATCTAAAATTCTATTAGTAGATTTCTAACACGTTTATACACATTTTGTCTAATGCACACAAGAAAATGTCATAATTACTTTACATAATTTATTTAAGGAAAGGATTTATAAGTTCCTAAAATTTAGGAGTTTCTGTATATGTATTCCGAATAAGGGAAGATATAATGACCAAAATTTGATTGATTTTAAAGTCCTCAATATTAGTAGAATAATTAAATTACAATTATAACTAATATAAAAATTTATTTTAAAGGGTAAAAAAGGCGAACGATGTTTCTTTAAGGGGCTTCATGCTAGGATATGCGTGATGCGCGTGTACCTTCTATTGATGCGTATAAAATTATAAAAAATATAAGCTCTTGAATATGACAAATATTGAGCCTACTTAGTAAAAAAAAAAAGAGCGGATGTCCTATCTAAGAATGACAACAACCAAGATAATGTTGAAAGTTTAGTGTTACTTTGTATCTTGTTCTTTTATATTAATTTCGTATCAAAATAGTTATCTAGGTACCATGTATTCTAAGACAAGTTAACTACAAAGAGAAGAAAAATTAACGACAGATAAATTATATAGTTAATTAATAAAATTCATCGCTAATCCTACTTAGTGACAGAACCAGTTATATATTACAAAAATTCCGTTAGCTACAAGATGAATTTACTAACTAATTCTTGTTTTGTAAAGTTAAATTATGTAACAAACTTTCTTAGTAATAATATTAGTTTTTGTTCCTATTCCATCTATTTATTTTAACATATGCATTGAGGTAATTTAGGTATTTTTGTAAATTAAATTATGATAATTAATTTCTTATCACAAATTGATGATTACTATTTTTGTCAACAATAATTACTATTTAAAAACCTAATGTCATAGTAAATTTTAACGAATTTAACAACCAAACTTCTAAGAAAATACTTATGATTTAAATTTTAGAAACAACAAATAAATCATATGAAAGGTAAATAAAGGTAAAATTGGTCTTTATGATTAAACAAGGACAGAGAAAAAAAACCCACATAAAACTTGAAGTTTCCTTGTTGGAAACCAACAAAAATCTTTCCTCCTATTTCTTTTGTATTCTTTTACGTCTTAATATATTATATCCTTTTAGGAAAAGAAATCAAACACTAAATTATATTAGAATTTTTTTTATTTAGAACTCCTAAATATAAGGAAAGTTTTCTAATTTTACAATTTTATCCAATTTAAATATATTTTTAAAGGGTAAAAAAGGCGAACGACATTTCGCTAAGGGCCTTCGTGTTTTTAATATAGTATATACATATAGATTATACATATAGATTGATAGATTACATCTATCTTTGTGACAGAGACTTCCAATATTCTCAGTCTGCCCCTTAGGAATGCAAACAACTCTCAATTGTTATAAATTGGAGGAACCAAAAGAAGTGAGATGCGAAAACCTTCATCTCTTTGCGACCATTCTGATTCCCAATTATAATTTCAGATAGACACACCTCTTTAGCTCTAAGAATGGGATTTGATCAAAGGGTACGTAATATTCATGCTCAATTTTTTTCTGTAGTATTTTCTTTTATACTCAAGTTCAATGACGACCCAACTCACTAGTATTATTTTATGATAAATTTATTTATTAACCGCATACTCATTCTTTCATGTCAAATCACAAACATATTTTTAATTGAGATTTCTTCTTTTGTGGTTATGAGATAGGAGTTTCACTTAATGGTTGTCCCAACAAATGGTGAAATCAACGCGCCACCGCCACCGCGGAAGAATTTGAGTCTCAGTGTGGTGGAACCTGATGAAAAAGATATTAAAATATCTTCGCAAGAACTGAACAGAATTTTGACTCAATATTTAGAAACATTGTCCCATCGGAAAGAATATCATTTAGGTAAGTATATGTTCAATGACTTTTTCTATGAATATAGTCATCAAATTAACTTTTATACACAATTTTAACAAAATAAAATTAAAAGACTAGTAAGCTAAGTCTATAGATTGTAAGGCTAAATATCATTGGATAGACGCGAGATCAACAATTATAGCTGTACAGCTGCATGAAGTACGAGAAGAGACTATGGATCCTAATTTGGCCTTAACTTGGGTAAGTGCTTACCTAAACATATAGTAATGCAATCGCTTTAATTAATACATTTGCTCAACAATCATACCTATTTGCCTATAATTGAAGGATATTTTTGGAATAAAAGAACTTTGCTTTTCAAATGAAACAAGAAGATGTAACGTGTCATGAAAAGAGAAAGTGTGACAAACTTTTTCAGGGATGAGGAGTATTAAATATCTATCTTATATTTTGTCCCCTAACTACCTTCTGTCCTTCTCCTCCATGCCATAATAATAATAATAATAATAATAATAATAATAATAATAATAATAATAATAATAATGTGCCTTATTCTGCACATGTTTCTAATGGCTCAATTCCACAATTTGTATATACGTGTACAACTTTTACTACGTATTATGTATACTTCCGACAACTATCAGGACCAATGACAAGTTGACAACTAATGGATCAGGCGTGCAATAGATGTGTAGTTGAAAGTTCCGCCTTAGTATAAAGGGGTACTTATGTATTTTTCCATTAAAAAAATTTAAATTATTAGTTAATTTCATACATGTTCCAAAATTAATTTCACAACGAGAACTAGAGAAACAATTTCAAGAAAAAAAAAACATTTTAGTTATACTTGTTCTCGAAATATTTAAATTGGTTTCCTTACAGGTTATCCAATTAATGTATGTTACGAGCATCATGCTGCTTTAGCTCCACTTTTGCAATTCCACTTGAACAACTGTGGAGATCCCTTCACTGAGAACCCTATTGATTTCCATTCAAAAGATTTTGAAGTTGCTGTTTTAGATTGGTTTGCACAACTCTGGGAAATTGAAAAGGATGACTATTGGGGATACATTACCAATGGTGGCACAGAGGGAAATCTTCATGGCCTTTTGATTGGGTAGGTTTCACTTTAATTTTCCCATCTCCATTGATGGACAGTGTTTAATATATAATTCTTGTTCTAGTAGAATATCGAATAGACTTATATTTTGTACGTGGAGATATTCTACAATATTTATACTTGATCTTAAGAAAGAGTATTGTATATATTTAGAGACCTCAGATCCAAATGATGTATTTCAATTTTACCCATTTGAATAAATATTTGTGCAGAAGAGAGCTACATCCCACTGGGATAATATATGCATCCAAGGATTCACATTACTCGGTTTTTAAAGCAGCAAGAATGTACAGAATGGAGCTAGAAACAATCAACACTTTAGTTAATGGAGAGATTGATTATGCAGATCTGAGCTCAAAGTTACTTCTCAACAAGAACAAACCAGCCATCATCAATGTCAATATTGGTAATAATATTAATTCTTCGAAAAAGGGTAAGATATATCCCTCTACTATCAAATATTGTTTAAAGTTACCCTCCGTTATACTAATCGATTCTTACTATTGAATATATTTGTCCCTCATTTGACGGAAGGGACACGTGGCAGCCTTCTAAATATTTTTAATATCCAATAAATTGCCCATATTGGATACCCAATATCCATAACCCTAAACCCGACTCATCCTTGTTTATCTCATCTCCTTTACAACAAAAACTCCTTCATCCAAATTATGGATGTGTTCAAAAATGGTGACCCTTAAACTTAGCACAAATATCTTACAATGAACAGTAGCTAATCTTGATTTAAGCATATATAAAACCATGATCCAATTCTCAAGCAACAATGTTTAAAAGAATTTCAATATAGACAGTTCAAGTTCAAAGAACTCCAGATTCACAGTGATATTTGTAACCGCAATTCTCAACAACAATCATAAATTAGAATTTGATTAATGCTCAACTGTCAACTGCAAACTACTATCAAATCCTTCAATTTCGAATTTTCAATCATAGGAACAGAATTTTTTACGCTTAGTTGCTTGGATTTTTCGACATGGAAAGTGAAGATATTTTTTTAACCTCAAATCCGATTCAACAAGGAACCCAACAGCTCTTTTACTTACAAATCTTCTTTAACCAAGCGAAAGATCAGTAGTTAGTCTAAGATAATAGCTCAACAAAACATATCCAGATAATTATTTCAGTAGAATAATTCAACACTTTAATAATTTTTGTTCCAACTTTGAAAACTTAAAAACCTATGAGTTGGAGTTCGATATTATTTTTTTTACCTAGTTCTTCAAATCAGTTGCTAAATTCCGACTCAAAGAGCAGCTCCGAACAATCAACCAATTTTTGGATTTTCAAGCATCCAACAGCACAAAATTTCCTTTTTTTTTTTTTTTCGTGTGTGTGATTCTGATTGTGAAATCAAGGCAATAAACAAGGAATGCTTAAAGCAATTTCTTAGCCTATACTCCGAAACAAAAAGATTCAATTTGTAAGAAATTTAAAAGCACCTAGTCATGGAGTGGAGAGTCATAGAGGAATGAGATTCTCTTGTTTAGGAGATGAAATAAGAGAAAGAGACAAGGTTTTAATTGATTAAGTCTGGGGATGGGTCAGTTGTAGGGTCATGGATACTGGGTATCCAATATGGGCAATTGGTTGAGTACTAGAAATATTTAGAAGGTTGCCACGTGTCTCTTCCGTCAAATGAGGGACAAATATGTTTAATAGTAAGACGGTAAGCACAATTTTGATCGATTAGTATAACGGAGGGTAACTTTAAACAATATTTGATAGTAGAGGGGTATTTCTGACCCTTCTTTGTTAAATCTTAGATCCTTTCGCTCCTGAAGGATCCCAGGATTTAAAGTTTATGAGTTCTAAGTTGCCACTGAATTCATAGCTTATTTTAGTTGCTGGTTGGATCGCAATTACTTATTATACGTATTTAATAGATTTTCAAATATAAATATAGGGTCTAAGCAAAACGTATTGATTTCATTCATACTCATACCTATTATTGTAGCTCTGCCCTGATTCTCATATGTGGATCGGAGTATTAATATTTAACATATTTGTAGGAACTACCTTCAAAGGAGCTATTGATGATCTTGATCTGATCCTACAAATACTTCAAAAATATGGTTATTCCAATGATAGTTATTACATCCATTGTGACGCTGCACTATATGGGCTAATTATCCCATTTATCAAACATGTAAGATTAATTTAATCCATTATGTTCTTTAAACAAGAAACATTCCATATAGGGAGCAAATAGAAAATCATGACCTAGTTCTCTATTGTATTCGACAACAGGCGAAAACAATTACCTTCAAGAAGCCAATAGGCAGTGTTTCAATTTCAGGCCACAAATTCTTGGGAAGTCCAATGCCTTGTGGCATTCAGATGACAAGGAAAAGCTACATTAGTAGTCTGTCAACAAAAATCGAGTATATTGCTTCCACTGATGCTACAATTTCTGGTAGTCGAAATGGCTTCACACCAATACTCTTATGGTACAGTTTATGCATGAAAGGCCATGCCGGATTGCAACAAGATGCAAGAATATGCAATGAAAACGCTCGATATTTGAAAGGCCGGCTTCATAAAGCAGGAATTAGCGCTATGCTCAATGAGTTTAGTATTATCGTCGTCTTTGAACGACCTAATGATCCTAAGTTCACTCGCCAATGGCAACTGTCTTGCATAAGAGATATGGCACACGTTGTGGTTATGCCAGGCATCACCAGAGAAATGATAGACAATTTCTTCAAGGATTTAATGCAGGAGAGGGGAAAATGGTACCAGGTTGGAACAACTGTGCCTCCTTGCCTAGAAGATGATATTGGTTCTCAAAACTGTCTTTGCTGCTATCGGAAGATGCGTCATTGAATTCTTTAGAAGACAAGACTTGGAACGGTCTTGGATATGGAGTATGTTTTTATGCTGAGGTGGCTCAATAAAATTGGTGATCAAATGCCAAATTTTTAATAAACCTTAAATTTATTAATTTTTAATCTTTTTGAGAAAATAAGTTGGTCTTCCTCTTGAGTTTCATTATCATCTTATTCAACTAAATTGTGACTTGTTAATATGTAGAACACTCTCCCATATTGTTTGATTAATTTTTTGTTGTTTGTTAAAATTTTATCATGAGCATCTCTTAAGAAAATATAATAGTTTCAATTCTCTTCTATTTTTCTTTTCGAGTTTTGTGTTAATCTGATTGATATTTTCTGGTTAACTTATTTGAATTCTAATATACAACAAAGGATAATATTTACTTCTGAAAGAAAAATTGTGAAACAGTAACAAATTTCATATATATAGAGAGAGATAGCCCCAAATATTGGGGGTGTCACATGTAGTCATATAAGCACTACTACAATGTTCTGATAATAATAAAACTAACATAGTTTCCTTGGAAAATCCAAAAAGATACAACTACGGGGAAAGATATGAGAAGAGAAAATGTAATGGTAAGTAGACCGCGGTCGCAGGCAGAGCTACTTACTATCTCTAGTGAATCAGGCAACAACAAAATAATTAGCAACCGCTACCCGTGGCCAGAGATACCTGGATCACTGCATACAAGGTGCATGGTTAACGTGAGTACACCAGACTTCTAAGTAACAAGTCCAAAACTACGAACTGATAGGTAGTGACGTACTTAACCTCAATCACGGAAACTAAGTAAACTGTGCAGAAAGTAGGCATTGCTTTTCAATTCAAGTAATTCAACTCAAAGCGTAAAGTAAATACAGATCTTAGACAATCTAAGATATAAAGTTCAGAACGACTCTAATCTCACGTGGCCAATGCTAACAGACTATGTATATGACAAACTGCTAACCGATTGTACTTCTCATGTCCAACTGTCACTCTAGTCAGCTCAAACATCCGTCCTAGTATGGCAATAGACCGATTCCGGCCAGGGGAAAGATCATATATAGGATATCATACACATCACTGAGAAAAAGTCACTCAGTACTAGGTAAATGTCATTCCAGCCCTGTTAAAGAGAAGATCCAATCTCAATGGATCAATACTTGAAAATCCGACGTATCCACAAGGGAAAGAATCCATTCCTCGATAACATATCAATCGCGCCCACTGTGGGGTGTGCAGGACCTAGATGAGCTGCTCTTAAGGCCTGAAGCGCCTATAAATAATCAAGAAGTATATCTGCCTGCTGGTGTGCATTTCCCACTACATAAAGTCACTCATAACTCAGCTCTCTAGGCCTCATCTATATAAGTCATTAACCCTCCCAGGTCTCAACCTTCAATAGGTTCACAATAGTGTCATGAAAACAACCCAGAACAATGATATGATGAAACTCAATCTAATTTAAGCCAGCCGAGATAGATATAGAAAATGCGATGATCATGCATCACATGGGAGTTTGGAATATAAAGCGAAAACGAACATCATAGATGAGCATGACAGCAAGAATACGACCGCTAAAAGGTCCAACTACAGAAACCGGCACTAAGGCATAATAACATGAACTATCTAGCAAGATTTACACGTCTCACACTACGCTTATCACAATGATGACACGTACCAGCGGATATAGACAGGAGTAGGCACTAACGGTGCCCAATAGGAAACTCACCAGCAGGAACTCCAGCACACATTCTTTCCACGGTGCACGCCGCAGACGTACTTGGCATGTGCGTCACCTCAGTACTAACTACTAACACATTGTTTTATGGTGAGTTTTTTGAAAGCCCTCGCAGAACCAGTTTTGGAAGCCATTAGCTTACCTAACTTCGGGCAAAATCCTACCTCCGCAAGCCCTTTGTCTCTGCAAATCGGCATCCACAACACTCCCAAATCTAGTCATAAGGCTAATACATACAATCAAGTATATGATGACAACGGCCATTCCCACAGACAAAAACTACTTATCGGACACAAATCCCTAAATTGACTCAAACTCCCGGCCCCCTGGCCGAAGTCTCAGGATATCCGACAAAAGTCAAACTAGAGAAGCCCACACTCACGAGTCTATCCATACCAATTTCAATCAAAAAGTCCAAACATTATTTGGTCCCTTCAAATCCCCCAAATTACTCTCTCCAAAATCCCAAGCCCCTCCAACCCTATTTAATCACATTCAAAAATCACCTACCTAATTAGAATGTGGAAATCGACGGAAATACTATCTAGTTAATGATAATAGGGCTCCACTAGCAACTTACCTCGCTTGCAATCCCCTTAAAAAGATGCTCTCTCAATAGCTCCAAAATTCCGAGTTGAAGAAGTGTACGCAGAATATTCGCGAAGCCTTGTAGATTTTCTTCTGCCCAGGACTTTCTCGCACATGACAAGCCAAAATGCGCACTGATCTCAGTGCCGTGGCGTAAAAACCTATCGGCATCTGCGGAACAAATTCACTTAATCCCGGAACCGATACCCTCGGGAAAGACATCGCACCTGCGGACCAACACACGACACATGCGCCCTCGCTTCGCGGCTTCATGGCAACTTATCGTAGGTTCCAAAGCCCTCGCACCTGCAAGACTTCTTGGTCATTCCCCTCACTCTTTTCGCTTCTGCGTCACATTCCCGCTTCTGCGCGCGCACCTTGTGCTTTCCCACTCTGTAGGTGCGGTCATATGACACACTGAGTGCTCCAACTTCAACAAATTCTCCAAACTTCAAAACTTGATCCGTTAACCACCCGAAACACATCTGAGGCCCCCGCGGACTCCTCAAACAAACGTACCAACAAGTACGATATACTAAACATACGAACTTACTGTCAAGCTCTTCTTGAATCAACTGCAACATACATCCAATAATCCAAATTCACATCTCGCGATTCAATCCTATGTGGAAGCTTCTCAATTCAAAGATTCACGCAACGACGCGAATACCTATTCAAATCAACAACTTATTGACCTCAAAAATTTTACCACGCGTCACAAATGACAACACCAGAACCTAACCAATTATCCAAAAATCCATTCCCACTCTCCCCGATCAGATCCAAAATTTCCGACTATCAACCAAAACTTGCGCACACAATCGCTTTCATTTTGCCAGTCAAACACTAAATTAGACTGGGCCTCCAAATCATATCTCGGAACGAGTCCGCTTCTATGTCCAAAATCACCCTAACGGGAGCTAACGGAACCTGTAAAATTCACCATCGAAGATCCGTTCTACGAATACAGCTAATATCCGGCCAACTTTCCCAACTTAAGCCTTCACAAAATTAGAGAGCTCAATTCGATCGTCCCAAGATCACTCGCCGGAACGAACCAACTGACCCGGATAAAGAATAATACAGTTGTAAGAACAACAAAATCGGTTACACAGCCCGAAACTCCATGCTCTCGTATGACTCGAAAAACTCTCGGACAAGTTGTTGAAGTCCAAAGCTCATCCACTCAAGATGAACACCCGTTGCCTTCACATACAATAGAGTAAGAAACTCTCTTCTTCTTTTTTTCACTACACTTAAACCTCACTTTAATTAACAAACACTCTACAATAATTTTTCCACACCACAATTATGAAAGAAAAGACAATTTATAGTATGGGAATTCCTTCCTTGATATTACAATGGAAGAAAGTGGGGGTAAATAAGTTATGAATGTTATGGGAAAACATGGGATATGTTAATTATTAATGTAATTAGAGTGAGTAGAACATGAGAGAAGAGTTAAAAATAGAGTTTGTGCCATTTTGTCCCACATATGGCAGTAGTGGGAGTTATGCGATATTTTTTTCTACTATACATTAAAATGACTAAATCTAAAGATTGGTGTCTATGAGCCGAAGTGTTGTTATAAGAGAATCTAACTATTAATCACGAGTAAATCATATAGAGAAAATAGATTCAAAGTTATAGCTTTTATAAGTGGATGTGTTTGTGTCATATATATGGATGTTGTCTAAACTAGCCCCTTCATGTATTCTAGTAATAGTGGCTTTTCCTAACAGTGGAACTTTTATTAGTGGAAGTTATTGGCATATGAAAAATGTGATGTCATAATTTTTGTAACTCCGTCAGAATAGCTGAGACCATACAGTTGGTAACACTTGAGTTAGGGAAATTAAAATCCAATCATAATTTCATATCAATTTCTACCTTCTCGATTTACGGTCCATGACCTTTTTCTACAACTCTTTTATCCAGGTTAGTATTTCTAGTTCTTGTGACCTTTCAAGACATGATCTTTTATGAGAACTAGCTTAGAATATTAAGAATAACTAGGGGTAAAAAGTCGAGTTAATATCAAATATATTTTTTCTCATCAATACATTCGGAACATATATCCATTTACATACAACTCATTCATCTTGATCTTCATATATTATTAGAACTATAGATATAAATAATATAGTTAACGCTAATAAGAGCTATAACATTTTTTATCATTTACTTTGAGAAAATCACCTATTATTAGTGGCGGCAGGATCCCATCTACTCCCACATAACTCAAGTATTCCGCCTACTCCTTATCTTAAAAGGGAAGGTAATGTGAAATAGCCAAAACCGTCCTCACTTAAAGAAATGCTTTTTTAACAAAAAATTCAATTATGAAGTTATCGAATGTTAGACTTAAGCCATTGGGCTTTAAAGTAAGAAGAAAGTGTGAATTGGAAATGGAGGGAAATTGAAAATTTGAAGAAGTGAACTTTTGTCTTGCACATTTGTCCCTCATTGCGTGAGGAACAACCACATTTGTGTGCTTATACTATATGAATCACTTCTTAAGCTCTTAAAGAGAGAGAGCTTTGAAGAGAATGAACCCGCTGTCGGTGTCGCAATCGCTCGCGTCGCTCGGTTTTGGCATCTCTGCATCTTGGCTTTGGCTTTAAATGCCAAATCACTGCTCTGAAAATACGCCAAGAACCTTGCTGGAAAAAAAAAAAAAAATGGTTCAGAGGGCCTCCTGGCCGCGGTTCTGCCCCGAAAGCCTCTCTGACCGCGGTTTCTGATCGCGGGAACCGCCGGGTAGACCCCGGCAAGGCAGTGTTATTCTTTCTGAAAAGCACCTTTCCCAGACACCCCTTCTCATAATTGACTTTAATAAATT